GTCGGTGGCATAGTGTTATACTATTTGTAAACCTTCAATCACATTCCTGCAATACTAACCAGGCATTGGTCCATGGACTATCCCATAGCGTTCGGACTTCTGTCGGTGTAAATGATAGAGTGTACTACTGTGACGTAACCTGGATCTCTAAAAAACCAAACGGAACTCACCAGAGTCCACCTGGGTACACCGCGGCTTTCGAATGAATTCAGCCTCTAGATTGTCAGCGTGGACGACGAAGGCAAGATCGCACATAAGGGCAGTCGCAGTAGGGATGGGGAAAGGCAGTCAGATGACCATTCAGTCAACCATCAAAGAGGCGGGCTTATGTCCAGCTGGACAGATGCGATCGTAAGCGCTGTTCACATGATATTAAATCCTGATTGTGTAAAACCAAAATGTGGCTTATTTGCTCACTAAACTTAAATATGCATTTCTATATGTAGGTCTTTGCTTCTAAAGCCATTTCACACATGTGTACGTCCAAATGTCATCGAAAATCAGAAAAGGCGAATTTGTTCTTGTCGCAGCTGACATGTCCTCTGGACTTCTACCTGACAATAATAATCTGCCCTGTAGGTATGGCAGGAAAGAACATTTTGATAGCAAGTCGTTATTTTCTGAGGTCGGGGTATTATGTTACTGCGTAGGGTCATTTATGCGTAAGAGGCTTGTACGGTGTATGTTCCTGATAATTATTTGCGCAGGTAAACTCTCGTCGGCTCTAAAAACTTGAAGTCCTCCACCCCCATTTTCGGCTACTCCAACGTACTTGACTAACAAGGGCATTTGTTTTAAAGCAGGTAAAAATTACATAAGGCAGTTGGATGGTTTCGACTCAAAACGGCCATATCCGCATGAATTAACATAAATTACTTTTCCAACTTCAATAAAATTGTCTCAATCATATACGTGTTTTGACTACAGACTGAAAAACGTTTAGAGTCTATAAATACAGTTTAAAATCTACTAGAAAATACGCATTTCCTTAACGAAATGCTAGTCCGTTCATTACACCGTAAAATAATTATACATCTTTGGAAATAAAAAAATCGTCAAAGGTGCTTTCCACCGCTGCTTGATTAAACAACATTGCGTACTTAAGAATGTCACTAAAAAGCCTGAAAAACCAAAATTTATTTGATGAGAAGTCACGTTAATATACTGAATTAAGTGGCACGTCGTAACACAATTCATTCGGCTGTTGGAGCGAAAGTTGCGAAATTTTCCAATAAGATTTTTCATGGAAAATATTAGGATCTGTTTAATTTATCAGTCTTGGATTTTTGTTGTGCAAGCCGTGACGCATTGTCATTGAACTCAGCCGTATTTCTTCATAGCAACCGTCCTACACATACTCAGTGAATAGTGCTATCTGGTGTCTGCTAAAGACCCCATAAAGACGCCATGGCTATTTTGGTGCAGCTTCTTTTTTAAAGGATTTGAGCGTTTGCCGTTATCAATCCATCGTGGAGATCGTGTGTAGGCGAGCTCGCTGATTTTGGCAACGTTGAGTGGTGTTAAGGATATTTGCGGCGTGTCTTTACCCTCCTGATTCATATAAGTGACGGACAACATTTTCCATCAGTCCAATTATCTTTACCGGTTGTCCTCAGCGTTGATCACCAGCATTACGAGTTTTGCCTGAACTTCTGCGTCCTCAAGAGACCAACTGTCGCTGTGGACTTTTGAAAAACCACGTTGGGTCATTCGCTGATTAGATTTCTCCATCCGAATCCTTTCGTCATTCTTGTGCATCGGTCTCACTACTGCCTCAATTTGCATTTCCTTCTTCTTTGATAGGGCATTATGAGGGTAGATATATAGTGAATTCTTAATTTGCAAAATGAATGAATCAAAAATTACTATATTCCTTAGATTTTGTATCTAAAAATACAAACGGCTGTTTATTTTAAACTGATTCAATAATTACAGAGTTCAATGTTTTTTGCTCATTTGAAGTCCACACATTGCTCATATAAACATAAATGTTAATGAGTGCCTGAGTCACGACAAGCTTTGCGGTATGGCATGGACATCAAGAACAGAGTAACAATTGGATTACTCACGTAAAGTATCTTGTGACTTTAGGGAAACTCTTTGGTATACTTAAGTTCTTTTGACTAAACTAACATATCCTCATTAAACTTGGTTCGTTCATTAACACATGATTGCGGAATTTTTCCACTGAGTAAGGATGTATAGTAGTTGGCGTTATTAGTTGTCAAAGTGCAATCTGATTGCGAAGTGCTCTAACTGACTAGATACAAATGATGGAATAAAATATTTTAGGAGCACATAGAGTCTTAAGGAATTTAATTAATTTAATTAAATTAGTCTGACAGAAGGTTAACGGAGGGTCAGTTGAAGGTAATATATAAGACAAAGATTTCATCGGCGTTGCAAACACTCTTGTGCAAGAAAACATGTATCACGTATAACATAGTAGGCCTGACTCAGAAAGGAATTATTTCGCTAAAATCGCAAATTCGTCTGCTCCTTTGAGCAATAATAATTGCAGTGTATTTGTCCCTCGGAACGGCACATCACTGAATTTCAAAGAAAATATGTCTGCTCTAATAAGGCGAAATTAGCAAGAGACTTGGAAGCGCGAAGTGTGTGAGAGAAGTGACCTATCTGGAGTTTGAATGCACTTTGCCCTCATAAGGTTTATCAGCTTACACAGCCTCACGACGTAGGGACAGTTTGTTTTACCAAAATCTTTAGGAGTGAATTGCCTAGAGCTGTCTGTGTGCCAGATATCGCCTATCATCTGTAATAATAACATTCGACATTTTTCCACTGTAATGCCAGCCTGACGGTTTGGCATATTTTAATGCCGCTCCTCCCCTCTTTTCTGCTTCAAAGTTTTTTTTTGATTTTCTTTTCCCAGAAGGCTCATTTATTTAAATATTTTTACTCATTTGGTGTGTCCTTACAGCTGATACTAATTTATGATGAGATGGAATCGACAAATAAGGTGGCTAGGCCTCCAAAGACAAGAAAGGATACAGTTTATTGGCAGGCTAATCCTAGCCGTGTGACTAGGTACCAATTATAGCCTATTGTTGATTGCCTGGAGGCGTGGACTGCTGTCGCCCCGTTTGCTGTTGGCATCCTGCGCAATGTCACAAATTTAGGTTAGTGGAAACCCCAGTCCTGACGACTGCCCGGCATAATTCATCAGCAAATGTGTCCAGAGAAATAAATTTTCCCTGTATTTGCAAGTATTGACCACGGCTGAAAGGAAGTTTGCACTTTGCTTTATAGCGGAAAAACGCTGGTTATTGCCTCCGACGAGGGCGGAGCTGGGGTACGACCAGAAGATTTAAGACATCAAACACATTTTGTTTGATAACATTGGAGTTTATCCCACATGCCGCTTCGGCAACCGCAGTCACTTGTGACTGCTCGGAATCAATGCACTCGATAGTTTTTAATGTGCTGTAAAGATTGTTAGCAAACAAATGGGCTTCAGCATTTGTCGTTTTATTTACGCTTGCCGCGATGCACGTGAAATGCATAATGCCGTTTCGACACATTCCTCCCATCGTTACATGCTGGGTGAGAGGGGGTGGATGCGGTATATGCTGCGGAAGTCTGTCTCACTTTAGACTAACTCATACGCAAGTCACTGATGCCGCACCTACTCCATGGAACTCGCGGACGGGTCACTTGCGATTACCGAACTGCTATGCAATGTTGGAATACGAGGCTGCAGGCTTTTCCTTCGGCCAAAAGCATTTACCCAGGGGGTCGAGGTTGAGTCCTCATTGGCCCTGTAACCTTGGCAACACCTTTTTTGGTTTGCCCGAAAATAAGAGTCAGCCGCAGGAGTCTGTCGTAAATAGGTGATGTTCTCACGAACTAACGATTTATATCTCACGAGCCCCTAGCCTTAAAGGCAGCAAGTAAAACGGAGCAGTGAATAATATAGAGATTTTGAACGTTAAGAAAACTGACAACAGACCACGACAGAGGAGCACGTTAGCAAGGCGGATTGTACAGGTGTGTCGTTTCTCGTCACATTCAAACAAGCAATGCGGTCAAAGAAAATGGGACTAAATTGTCATAGGTGAATTACTCAGGTACCTCATCACAAGTCTACACATGTGCTCTACTGCTTGCGGATCATTCTCCTTCTTTAAGCCTTTTTGAATTTCAGTCAGGAATATACGCACACCGTTCTGTTGGTATTTCTGAAGCAAGCAAGCTCCGAAGGGGTTTCAGCGTTCACAAACAGACAACCTACTACCAGGCCGAAGTCAGCCAACTTGTAATAGCAGGGGTGAGGGATGACATAGAAGGCGGGTAGACTGATTCAGTACTGATAGAATCGAACAGGCGAGTTCCAGGTAGCAGTTCAGAAGACGAAGATGCAATCACTGGAACAAGAAATTTATTGGCCTGACGTTTCGGATTCTCACTGGAATCCATCGTCAGAGACAGTCGCAGATAAGGGTAAAGGTGGCACAAGGAGTGCAGCAGATTCTAGTTCTGCACAGGCGTCGCGACAAAAATGTGCTGCCGAAGTGTGTTTCATACAAACCTCCGGTTAACACAAAGCTGCGAGACGCGCGGTACTTCAGCACGGCCGACGAATGATCCGAGTGCTCCTCCAAGACTATCACTCACGGATTCGCAAATACCGTCGGAGGATTGACCAAGAGAAAGCAAGGTGCTGTGAGTTCATGGGCGAGGGTGGTACAAAACTGCTTCAGCAGAGGCTGGCCAAACGAACCCGCGAACATAAAGCAACAAGCGAAGCGGCCATAGAGAGCAAATTTCGTAAGCTGCCTGCTCAAATGTCATCCAAGAACGACAAACTGACGCACAACTTGTCGACAAAGGAGTTGACGGAAAAACAAATGCGGGTGTTACGGCATGAGGCCGCATTCAGCACAGCCGATTCCAAACCTGCCAACATGAGTGCAGCAGTGGAATCAATACCCAGCTAGAGGGGAGCGACAGACGCAACGAAGAACCTCATTCGACACCAAATGTCTTCTCTCCTCATGGCTCATAGGCCGCGCGACGTGCTTTCCAAGGTCGAGCGCGATGCACTTAATGAACTCAGGGCCGACAACGACATCGTTATCGTGCTTACAGACAAAGGGCGTTCCACGGTCCTATTGGACAGGATAGACCACCTTCAGAAAGCCCAAAGCCTGCCAGAGGATCGCCTGTCACCTGTCCCATGCGAATCCAACCCCATAAAAACGCTGACGCGCGAGATTAACGCGACGCTGTTGGCAATGGAGAACTCGGGTGCAATATCGCCAATCGGCCGGTGCATGGGGAGGGCGCAAGAAACGGCCCTAGCCCGATTCTACGGTCTCCCAAAAGTGCACAAAGAGGGCGTTCCTCTCCGACCTATCGTATCACTAAAGGACACTCCAACCTACGGACTGGCAAAGTGGCTGTTCCGACGTCTCAAGTTTCTGATCTCTGATTCGAACACCACAGTCAGCCCGTTAACGCAATTCTCGGAGAAACTTAAAGGAGTAAGTCTCCTGCCAAGCGATGTCATTGTTGCCTTTGATGTCAGGTCCCTTTTTACTTCTATCTCGCAGGACCTGACAGTCGAGTAGAACTACTCCTACGGGATAAATACGACGAAACGGAGAATCGCCTAGGATACACCCAAATCATCCAGCTCCTGAAGTTCTGTCTGAAGACGTACTTTACGTTCGACGGAACAACCTACGAGCAGGTGATGGAAAAGCCAATGGGTTCGCCGATTTCGGGACCCATAGCCGAGGCGGTCCTACAACGGCTGGAGTTGCTGGTTTTCCGAGATCACAGACCGAAATTCTGGTCTCGGTATGTGGATGACATCTTCGTCGTCATCGAACGGGATCAGGTGCTAGAATTCAAAGAACATCTCAATGCCGTCTTCCCGGACATTCAATTTAGGATGGAGGAGGAGGAGGAGAAGGAGGAGAAGGAGGAGGA